AGTGGTGGGATTTCCAGTCCCATAGGTGAGGCCTGAGCAGACAGGAACAGCTCAGTCTGAGCTCCAGCTGGTCTGGAGTGGATGTGGAGATGGTTTCTCCGCCGGCACTCCGCATTGTCTTGTAGAGAACCACTGAATGACGCTGTCTGTCAAGACAGCCTCGGAGATGCTTGTACACACTTACTCACACACACCTTTGCCTATTTCGACTCCAGTGGGGGGGCTCTCTCTTTTTCTCTTTAGTTGCTTAGAGTCAATTTTGTTTCATTTTTGTGTTTTTCATTCATAGAAAAGGAGAGACAAGTGTAGTTCCTTAAGGTCTTTTGCAGAGTGGGTAATACGGCTGTTATATTGAAGTCTCCCACAGCTGAGGAGACAAGAAGGGGAAAGGGATGGGGGAAGACAAAATTAAAGAAAACACATTTTAATATTCGTCACTTCACTGCCTATTTACATAGATTTGGTTCCGTCTTTGTACTTAAAAGATTAGGCTAGACTTAATGATTTTATAATACCAAAAAAACAGCCTTATCCTTTAAATCCTAATTCTCATTAGCTATGTTTTAGTGACCTTCAGTGTTAATAGTTTCATTGCACTAACCCACTTATCTAACTATCAGACTACAATATTAGCCCGATAATGGCCCAACCTGAGAGACGAGTTGCGTTGGGAACAAAAAAAAAAAGCATTGGTCAGACAGTTGCTCATTTTATCTCATGTCATGTTTTACAGTGGAAGACAACCCATGCAGCATCCGGGACATTGCACAACATTACCAAAACAAAAAAAGCTTAGCATGTCACAAATGTTTGCGTTCTGTTGTGTTCTTTGACTTAAATGATGTAATGGGTTCCTGATTGATACTTGCCCTGGCACTCTGCCTGTTGGCTTTCCTCTGGTCATCGGGAAGAGGGGGCATGGGGTACGGGTATCTCCTGCTAGATGCAATAGATCCTGTAGAGGAAGTGGGAGACTTGGCAGGGGATAGCGTCCTGAGAAAAAGAGGAAGTGACATTATTAAAATATTGCCTCCTGTGTTCTGGTTGGTTTAGGATTAAGTTGGCCAAAGACACAGATGGATAAATGAGGTGAGATTCAGGAAGTTGAGCTAATGTTAGATCTGTGACTTTGGGCAACATCCTCCTTGAGCTGCTCTAATTATTCGGTTTTCACCTTCCTACACAGAGAGGTTGATCTTAAAAGCTTGTACAGAGGCCGACAGATCACGTAATCTGTTCAAAAATAAGTGTGACCATAGCTCAGCTTTTAGGGGCAACCTCTGTACACAATATGTGTATCTGCACACAGCAGTACACAGTTCCCAGCAGCGGTGTGGGCATAGTCATAGTTTCCTGCAACTCACATGCTTCATCCTGCCACAGAATTACTGTTTATATCATCGGCACTGACACACAAACCAGAATTTGCAGAAATGCACCTTTAGCCACTGTTTAAACATGAATGCTGCTAAAAGCTAACTTCTGGTGTTAGCTGAGCCAGTGTATATACTTGAAAAGTTGCATCAGTGTGTGTGTGTGGGTTTAAATGAGGAATGCTGGGAGCAGTGAGTATGATGAGGTGACTGGGACAGCAGACCAGACCGGAGCTGGGTGAGAACAACAGACTGAGAGAATCATAGGTAAAAACAGAACAGTGAAACAGAAAGCCCGCCCCATATACAGAAGCTTGTTTACACCACTGCTGTGTGGTGGTCGGAAACACCTGGAATGGTCAAAGTAGTGGAGAAAGTGGGGAGGCGGGTGGACCACTGGTTCCAGAAGTGTTTTTGCTCACAATGAATTCCTGTTAGCTATATTTGTTTGTCAGGTAGTCCTCCACTTGAAATACCTTAACATATTAAGATGACATTTTATACATACATTCAACGGGTGAAAAGCCGGAGGAATCCTCTGACTGTAAATTTCTTTTTACAGCAAGACAAATTGGAAGCTTGAAAATTGGTTTGTGTTTGAAAAAGTGAGGAAAAAATTGATTTTAATTGGGGAATTGGATTTTGCCCAAAATACGGGTGATACAGACATAAATGTCTACCTCAGGATGAATTGTGACAACTTTAATGGACCATTAATTCATATAGCGCCACCGTCAGGTCGAAATTACAATTTGTCCAATATTTTTTATGACCAAATATCTTTAAAACTAATGAAATTCCGATCAGCCTCAGCTGTACCTAACCTAATTTGCAAATGTTTAAGCTAAATCAAGTTGGTGAACCTGGTGATCAATAACATCATGACTTCTGCGTTTAGCTTACCACTGTAATTAATGCAGTAGTCTTGTAAACTGATTTGTGCCCAGGCTCGTAATGTACCTGTGTATAGCTTTTTTTTTCTAATCAGATGCTACTTTCTTATACAGACAATTTAATCAGGAGTGCTTTCTGTGGATTTCAGTGCTGGAAATAATCAATCAATAGTATGTTTTGTATCTTGTAAGCTACTGGATACTTGAATTTCCCTCGGGAATCTATCTATATTTAATCAGTCGAAATGTAAAAATTAGTCTTAGTTCTGGAAGCAGGGCTCCCCAACATAACCCTCCTCACCTCTCCACTCTTTTGGACGGTTTCTGGCCTTCAGAAGGTGTACTAACAGGGGAAGGGCAGGAATGTGCTCCTGGACACAGTGAAGGTCTATAGATTACAGTGCTGATTGAATGTTTGGTGACATTTAGCTTGTAGAAGTGAGGAAACAACTTGTTATAAAGGAAACCTTGCGGCATGTGTTTGTGATTATCTATAGACCTTTGACACGATCGGAGTGGTGGCCTACAGTTTGTCACAGCAGCACAGTGATGATTTCAGCGCAGCGCCCAAAATGTTTGGCTTGGCAGTGATATCACACTGATGCATGTGAGGTCACTGAGAGCGAGGCAGGACCGACACACAGACACTCAGACAGAACAACACACAACATGCAGAGGTAACAAGAGACTGTGGAGGAGAAGCAAAGGAGGGAATAAGGAGAAATTAGGAAGAACATTATAATTATAATTGTATCACTAGCACAGGCAGTAAGAGCCATTATTTGTTTTGCATCATAGCAGAATGGATGCTGAAAAGAAAAATCTCCAAATTAAAGTGCAGCTGATCAAAAAGAAAGAAATGTCTTCACGCAAACTAAAAGGAGGAAGAACATAAAATAGGATATATTACAATGTAAAGCAGAAAAACTATTTTTTAATACTCAGCAGCAACCCCTTTGAGGAACTCTAGGTCGCAACATGCCAGCTGTCGATAACACTTCTTCTGAAATATTACATTTAAAACGTCCACAGAAAAAGACCAGATTAGAGCTAATTGTTACTTTCCTTGACCAAGCCACAAATCAAACCAAAAGTGAGGGGGTTTTTACACAAGCGTGTGGGGTACAGGACATGGTCTGAGGTAATACCTAAGGTAAGGTCCTTCAGTGTTTCTATTCACATCTTCTACCCACTTAGTTACATCATAAAACTCTGCTTTGAAGCGAGGGGTTAAATACCTGTGGGAGGGGGAGGGGGGAGTGGGGGTGATTGACACAACACAAGGAGGAGGGAGAAGAGAGAAAAGGAAGGAAGGAAAAGAAAATTGAAAAAAGACAAAATCTCCAGAAATAAGCAAGTGTGGTGGGGAGGGAGGGAGGGAGGGAGAGAGGAAGAGGAAATATTTTAGGAAAGCAGAGCAGAGCAAAGATATCCTGAACAAACACCAAGATGCAATTGAGAAAATGGTGATAAGATGGCGGACAGACCTGTGTGTGGTTTCAGATGAAAACGGCACCATGAAAATCACAAACAACTGTGTCGTGTGTTACAGGCTCAGTTGCATATTGGTTACATGTCACATCATTCCAAGCAGTTGGCTTCTCGCCGCTCAGTCAGTCTCATGCTTGCAGGTGAGAACAGGTGCACTGCAGGCTATTTCATATGCCAAGACCTTCAAATCCACAGACAAACACGCCTTGCTGGGCGGCAGCCGATGCACACTGTTCATTGTTCATTTACATTCAACAGGCATGTATGCAAATACTTTCTTTGTTCTCAGATGAGCGGCGAGCAAATTTAAAAAGATTTAGGGGCCCCACAAGCCAGACAAGAGCAACAACATCGTTTTGTGTGACTTGACTAGCTTGCGACACACTCTTTACACCCCTGATACTGAAGTTTGGGGAAGCATAATACTTCCAGAGTTGAGTTATTTATTTAAGGACAATGATATTTTTCATTTCCTTATTGTCAACAAATTTTATGAAAAGACCAAAACCAAAAATAAATTGTTCCTAGAGCCCAAGCCTGATATAACCCACTGAGTCATTACAATGAACACAGAGGCTGTATTTATGTTTATTTCAAAGTCTCTTCCCGCCAATGCTGTATACACTCTCTACCGCATCAAATGTGCATTAATACACAGGTGAAAATAGTTCCCAAAAAATCCGCAATTTGCTCCTTTTTGAGGAATATTTGCTAAAAACTAGAGCTGTTTTATAAGATTATGTAGCCTGTTTGTTTTTTAAAGAATGAAACTACATATACTTATTGTCATATATATACATAGATATAGATACTGTATAAACTGTAGATATATACTTGTATATACATGCTTTACATCATTCAGTAACCAATGAAAAGAATGAAAGTTAGTAAGCATTGAGAGACCTAGGATGTAACCACGCAAAAATT